GAAGATGTGTGGATTGATATCCGTGTCTTCTGTTTGATTCCCTTGGTCCTCCTGTTTGTCCTTATGCCAATACCAGGCTGTTTTCAGTACTGTAGCTCTGTAGTAGTGTTTGAAGTCAGGGATTGTGATGCCTCCAGAAGTTCTTTTATTGTACAGGATTGTTTGGGCTATCCTGGGTTTTTTGCTTTTCCATAGGAAGTTAAGTACCATTCTTTCGAGGTCTTTGAAGAATTTTGCTGGGATTTTGATGGGCATTGCATTGAATCTGTTTTTTTTTTAATTTTTCTTTCCGTTTTTTCTTTTTTCCTTTTCTTTCTTTTTCTTTTCTTTTTTCTTTTCTTTTTTTTTTTTTTAAGACAGTTTCTCTTGTACTGGAGCTTGTATTGGAACTAACTCTAGAGACCAGGCTGGCTTCAAACTCACACAGATCCACCTGTGTCTGCCTCCTTAGTGCTGGGATTAGCAGTGTGTACTACCACTGCCCAGCAGCCAAACCAAATGTTAGGGTGGAGAGGAGGTGTGGGTACAAAGTTCCACCTTTAGGCAAAGAGTTGTTGATGCTTGATAGCTGCTTGGGAAGGGAGAATCAGTTTTCTGTAAGAGTATAGCCCTGGCTGGGCATTGGTGGTGCATGTCTTTAACCCAGTATTCAGGAGGCAGAGGCATTAAGATAAAGTATTTAGTGACCTTTCAGATGTTGTATGCCAAAGCAAAACGTGCTCTAAAAGGAGATGCTGAGCTTCCCCACATAATATCATAAAACCTCATTCTAGTTGGGGTGGAGTGATCCTTCTGCCTGTATCTTTTAAGGAAAAGCACAATTATTTCTAGTAATTTTTACTGATGGAGTATACAATTGCTCTCCTTCCAGGGTAGCCTGGACCTTATCACTCTCGGAAGATATAAGCAAAATTTAGCCTATTACATAGTTGTTGAAATGGGACCTCTGCAGAGGCTAGTCCTCTCTGAAACATCCTGGTGGGGGATATGACCTCTGAGTGGCAGAGGATTCTGGGAGGAAGAAAAGGCCAAAAGGACCAGCTACAGCCATCTGCTTTCCACGCACCATGTAAGACGCTTGGGTTTCAGTAAGTTACCTTCCTCTGAGACAAACAGTGTGATCAGTGGTCGGTGAGTCCCTGCTAGATAGGTGTTTGGCAGGGACCTTTGGCTCACTCCTGCCTGATCTAGAAAGCCCATTTCTGATTTTCTAACTCCTGCACCAAATCAGCCAATCCCCGAGATTCTTTGAACAAAGGAAAGGCACCAACAAGCCCAGTTCCTCATTCTTGGCAGCTACTGCAGTCCTTTTCCTGGAATTGCCAACTGCGCAAGTTCCTACCTAAAGCATTCAGCTCTGGACCATACTTGGGCACAAGTCCAGCTTTTGGTGGACACAGTATCATTCCCCCCCACAACCAAATAATCCCACCCCCCCGACAACCTATATAATCTCCCTGCTTTAGTTCCGGAGTGTGGCTTCTCTGGCCTAAATTTCTGGGACTGGAGAATCCACCCAGGAGATGTTTTACTCAATCAACCTGTTATGTCTCTTCAATTCAACTTGATAGGTCTTTCTGCAAAGACAGAGAAACCTATGGGCCCAGAAATCCTAGCAATAGGCATCTTAGGTTCTTTCCATGTTGCTGAGATAAAATACTCTGAAAAAGACATTTAAGTAGGAAGAGTTTATTAGGCTCCAATTCCAGGTTCCAATTCACCACAACTGGGGAGTCACAGTTGCAGAAGTTGAGGTATCACATGCACTCAAGAACAGAGAGCAATGAATTCCTGTATGCATGATAGTGCTCATCCTGTCCTGTCCCTTTTGTACAGCCCACAGTCCCCACTCCCTACCCAGGAACTCCAGACAATCCCTCAGACTGCCCCAGAACCCACCTTTAATCCAGATACCCCTTCTCAGCCATGCCCTGAGGCTTGCCTCTTCTCAGCTGTGCCCTGAGGCTTGCCTCTTCAGTGTCAAGTTGACATTGGTAATCTTCAGAGTTGTGCACTGCAGTTTTTTTTAACTAATTTATTTATTAAGGATTTCTGCCTCCTCCCCGCAACTGCTTCCCATTTCCCTCCCCCTCCGCCGATCAAGTCCCCCTCCCTCATCTGCTGGAAGAGCAATCAGTTTTTTTAAAGGAAGTAGATCTCAAGAGCTATAATGAAAAGTCTCCAAACTGCTTTTATTTACACCCTATCTTTTATTGTGGCCAGATTAAAATGAAACTGGGACTGGGTGGTGGTGGTGCATGCCTTTAATCCCAGCACTTGGGAGGCAGAGGCAGTTGGATCTCTGTGAGTTCGAGGCCAGCCTGGTCTACAAGAGCTAGTTCCAGGACAGGCTCCAAAGCTACAGAGAAACCCTGTCTCAAAATACCAAAAAAAAAGACAAGAAACCAGGATTGGTTTTATAAGTGATAAGAATGCATTATCTGCTTTCCCCTGATGGCCAAAGATCAACCAATGGCAGGCTCAAAGCTGCCAGAAGTTTAAACTAATTCCAAGGCAACAGACTATAAATGAGAGTGACAAACACAGCTGTTTTCTTTATTATGTTAGACGCATCTAATGTTTTAGGAGACCCCGAGTAACTGCTGCAAGGCTAAAATAAATATTGAGGTTAAATATTTCTTCATCAGTTGTCATTGTTATGCTCAAAGCCTGGGTCTCTCTGGAAGGAGGGCAATTTTATCTCCTTCAGTAGAAGTTAGTAGGAGCAAAGGCCCTCGGCAAAGAGTTCTATTGTGTCCCTGGAGTGTCCCCCTTATCATCCAGGGTGTATCATTTGTCTTGTCCTCTGCATGAGCTGTTAACTTTCTCTTACTTCCCTGCTTCCATCTTTCTCCCCCTGGCAGCTGCCAAGGTCTCTAGCTTCCCTGGCCTCCCTGGTCAGTTCTTGCTAATTCCCAACGAATTGGCCGTGAGTTCTTTTCTGAGTCTGTCTTCAATTTTTGTTGTTGTTTTTGCTGTTGTTATAACAAGACCTAGAACCTGTGGACATAAAGACAGTTATGGCTCACAGGAACATCTGAAGTTCTTCATCCTTTCTTTATAAAGTCCCCTCTATGTCTTCCCTTGGGATGTGTGGCTATAAATGCTACAGTCTGGTCTTGGATACTTTGTGAGGAACTTAAGTATAAAGTTACATCCACAGGATGCTCCAGAGAACACTGCTATTTGGGGGAGTCTGTTAATAGAGGAGAGGTGTAATGTGGAGGAGGGACGCCGTTAGGAATAGAGGCAGCTGCACTTGTGGCCTCTACAAATAGGATGTGTTTTTGGGCTATGTTACTTCCAGATTCAGTGGAAATAAGAGACCCGACCTCTTGGTGTCAAGAAGCACGAAGTCTGGAGAAGTTACGTTACATCTGAGAATATGTATGTATGTTTTACCATTTACCATCTATGTACCTTTTACCATGTAGCTCATTGGTGATGGCTAGCTCTCAAATTCCAATGTCTGGAGTGCTGTTTGAGGCTGTCTTGGCTACTAGATACTTGGGAAGGAATTTCTGCCATTACTTGTACTAGAAAGATACTAGAAAGGGTACAGACCACGGGGAAGCCAGTCAAGCAGGGACTGGGGTGCCAAGAGAAGAGCTCTTGGTGGAGGTGATTCTGGAATAGAACTGAGACTGACAAATCAGAATAGATATTTGGAGATTGTTAGGTGAAAATAAGGCAGTGTTGGGGGAGAATAGCAAGCACCCAGAACAGGTTGAGAAATACAGAGAGTAACACTGTATGCATGGAAAAAAGAAGGCAAGAAAGAGATGGGATCTAAAATCTAGGTGAGGAAAAGTCTGCCTTCGAATGCAGCAAGAAAGGACAATGGAGCAAGCTCATTGGGGCTTAGGATGGAATGAATTCAAATAAGAGACTGCTTTGAATTTTGTTCTTTTCCCCTTTGCATCCTAAAGGAAAGAGGTGGGGGTGCACCTATGCAAGTATTAAGGGTTCGATGGAGAGTGAGGAGCAAAGTATTTACTTTACACACAAGCTTTTACTATCAGCAAGATAAGGTGAGGGAACCTTTGTGACTGCTTGAAGCACAGTAACCTGCCTAGGTGATGACTTATACACACACACACACACACACACACACACACACACACACACTCACACTCGTATTCCAGCAACCCACCCAGAGCAGAGGTCTCCGCAATTCAGTTTGATTAAAATTTATTTTTAATTTTGTATGTGTACGAGAGGAGGAGACAGAGAGACAGAGACAGAGAGAGAGAGAGAGAGAGAGAGAGAGAGAGAGAGAGAGAGAGAAGGCATGTGAGCACAGGCGTCAGTAGTGGCCAGAAGGGCATTGGATAGTGCTCAATTCAGGCAGTAGTGAGGCACCTGATATGGGTGGTGGGAATTGAACTCAGGTCCTCTGCAAGGGCAGTAAGTGCTCTTAACTGTTAATCTGTCTCTCTAGCACTACTTACATTTTCTCCTTAGTTTGAAAGACCCGGATAAATCCAGACCCCTCTAGCAGAAAAAAATAGAGCCAAAAATCTAAGCAGGAAGAAAAAAATAAAAAATCTAGATTAGCCGGTTCAGTGACTCTGTTTGGGGAACTAGCTGAAGATAAAATTAGATTATAATCTTGAGAAACAGGGAGTTACTCCTTGTGTTTATCACTGATATTTTCGGAAGTTTTCAACGATCACTGGTATTTTCCGAATTTTCCAATGACACCATCCCTACCCCCTTTGGATTATTGTGTTATGGTTTCTTCCTTTAAATACCCTTTCTCCCAGCTACTTGGGGTCGACCTCTCTACCCCTGCTTGGGAAATGAATATTGGCCCCAGTGCACTGGTTCCTGTCCTGTCAATAAACCTCCTGTGATTGCAGCAAGGATGGTCTCTCGTGATTTCCTGGGGGTGGGGGTGGGTCTTGTTATCCTGAGACTTGAGTGAGAGTCTTCCCACTCTGGGGGTCTTTCAAGTTAAATCTCTGGTTTCATAGTGAAGAAATCATTCAGAAAAGTGATTTAATTTACACAGATTTTATTGATCATTTAGAGTGTGACTCATAGAAGCCATCAGCCTGGGAACGCATATTGGGGGTATGGAATGATTGATGCTGCTGTGAGTCAAGCTCTGGGAGTCTTCCACAACTGACCAGAGAAAAGGAGCGAACTGTGATTATAGCGAGCCAATATCGTCATGCAAATGTTATGGACTAGAAAGAGTGAGCACAATAATGGTTGTAAATTAACATCTTTGGACTGATGTACCTTCTTAAATGACCTTTATGCCATATGCCAGAGGGCCCTCTATGGAAAATCCTAGATAGAAGGACACTCTTTCAATGTTCCTTCCACTTCTGAGTGGACCCGAGTACACAGAAGTCACTGGTATTTTTATTTTTGCCTCTGTTCCATATTCTACAGAGATTAGCTTGCCTTCAGCCTGACCATCCAGTAGGCGCAGGAGGTCTTTGACTTCCCTCTTTTCCCACACAACTCCACTCTGCCAGAAAGTATTTGAATCTCGTACTTCACTGACGTACTGCTCGATTTTGGCCTTGTGGACAAGACTGTTCAGCCCCTTCTTCTGCCCCAGGTAGAACAGCGTGCTGGGCTTCTTGGACCTGCACATGTGCTTGTACTGTCTCCTGAACGCCCGGTTCAGGGATGAGACGTACTTCTCTATGAGGGCGGAATCTTCATCGAGCTCTTTGTTTTCTGGCCAGAAGAGAAGGCAGGCTAGGAAATAAGGATCAGGATATGGATGGCTCAGTCCCACGAGTTTCAGGACTTCTCGGAGCTTTGTTTTCAGTGTGTTGAATGGCAGGATGTACTTGGAACTGGGCTTTAGACAACTGAGAATAATGTTTGCCAAAATGAAATTTTGGGTCTCCTTTGTCAGTCGTTTGTTTAGACCTTTCTGTAGTAAGAAGGTGTAGTATTTCACTATGTCTTCCATGTTGTTAGCTTCTTTATGGTTTGGATTAAGATATTCAAGGAGTCCTGAAAACGTGTCTGCTCTCATAGCTTCTATGCGTTTCCTATAGTTCTCTTCTTGGAGTAAGAGATCTCTGCCCTGTAACAAACTGGTACATTCTGCCGATCGGCAGAAAAGATCTGCATATTTCTCGAAACACTTGCTGACTTTCTTAATTAGTAGGAGTTCTGTCATTTCTTTAGGGGTGTTTCTTGGTTTCAGAAGACCCATATAATCCAAAAAGAAATCAAAACATCGTTTCAAATCTGACTGTAAATTCTGTAGGTGCGATGCAAAGTTACTGAGAACAGCATCATAGCCATCTTCTGGGTCTGGAGGGATGGGCCCCTTTCCAGATAAAAACTGTACCATGGCGTCCATCAGCGTTTCATTTTCTTTGTGGAAAAGCGGGGTGAGCTGAAGAATTTGGATAGTGTCAAGACCTACTTCTATTTCACCAAAGAACCCAGCAGTATTGTACACGTCATATCTTCTTCGGGACTTCTGTGGTGCCCAGGCCTCAGTCTCAGAGTCTTTACTGTCAGTTTGTTGCTGAGATTCTTTGAAAGCTTTGGAGGCCTTTTCAGCAATTTCTAGCAAATGTGTTAGATCATCCACACTAATACTTTTACAGGCCTTGTTTTTACCCAGCCACTGTTTGATCTCACTTTTGTAAACTTGTCCGAGTGTATCTGAAATGTAGGAATTCTTAGGTGCTTTCCTTTTGGCCAAATTTGCCCAGACCAGAGCAGTGCTAAAGTTCTTCTCTTTAATATAGAAATGTCTCGCTAACGCTTGACAAATGAATGCATTTTGTGGGAACCGATCACTTCCTGCAGTCAAAATCTGTTCAGTTTCCTCATTCTGCAGTTCTTCAATTAATGGGGAAAATAGTGTGTCTGTTTCGGCACCGTGTTCTTTACGTTGCCTTATAAGCAAGAGAGTTTGCACATCCTGCTTAAATTTGTCTCTTCCTAATCCAGAGTCGTAGAATATGTTCTCTTCTAATATATTCAATGCAATTTGACACTTACCCATTCCATAGCTCGTTCCCAGTTCTTTTAAACAGTAGCGGGCAATTTCAGGGTGAATGATACGTATACCAGTATATCTCCCATATTCTGAAACTTCTGTTCGTATTAGAAGTGTGGAATAGGTTCCCATGTTGTTTTCTACAGTTTCAGGTTTCCCATGTTTATTGGTGTAAGTGATTCCCAAAAATAGCTCACACTGTGATACAGAGATGGTAGAATCTTTAATGTAAGAATTGAGTAATGCCAGGTAAGAAATGAGCTGGGCTTTCTTGCTGTGAGGGTCCAGGTCTTTCAATGTATTCTTCACTACATTTTGAATGTAAGTTGGGTCAAAACTGTCTTTCAGGATCATGAAGGAATAAAAGTTTTCACAATTCTTATGTTCCTTTTCTATTTCCTGTAGTTTGGCCTCAAATGCTCTTTGTTCTTTGGGAGAAAGCTGGTATTTTAGTGAAATGCTTTCTGCTAATTTTGCACTTTCATCTGGATTCTGAGACCTCATGCAATTCAGGATTATTACTAAAGTTTTTTCATATCTCAGACCCTTTTCTGCTATAAAGGAATTGATGGCATTCTGAAGAACGTAGGTGTTTTCTTGTTCTTCGAAATCATCCACAAGGAGAAGAACAGGGATGTAATCCTGGTGGCTGATAGCCTTATAGCTGATCAGCTTGCTTACTTGTTCTCCAATCTCTACAAAATCAGCTGCTTTGTTCCTCAATACAGCGCATCGGAACTTCTTTTTTAAGTCCCAGAGAACATGCATAGCCAACGTCGTGCCTCCGCAGCCTGGGTGATGGTACAGGTTGATGATTTTGGCAAATATGGGCTTTGGAGAGTCTGCACACTGTTGTATTAAAGTAGTAAGTTCTTCATAGCCATCTCTTTTCACAAAAGCTGAAGAATAGTTTTCAGAAGAAAAGTAGAAGTTCCACCAGGATACTCTGCCTCCTCGATAAAAATGTTCTTCTCTTAATTTCTTAAATTTTAGGAATTCAGATTCATCTTTCTCTATGTCTGTGTCTTTACATTCATTTTCACAGAGGATTTCCAGGGCTGTCAGGATATCTTCCTCCATTTTCTCCAGGATAACTGAGGAGGAACCACAGGAGGGCAGGAATCTTCTTGAAGACTGAATCACTGATTTCAGTTTAAGGATAGTATTGTTGACCAGTTCTATATTTAAAGTGGAAATACTATGTTCTGCTAAATCCTCTTTGACTTCCAGTCTTACTTGTAGTAGATCACTCCACCGTTGGTAGATATGCGAGCCGACACAGATACACAACATGTTGTCCATCCCATTGAAAACTTGATAGAAAGCACAGAAAGTTTCAATGAGGGGATCTTTCTGGCTTTCTACTGGAGAAAGTAAGAGAAACACCACTAAAAGCTTTTCTCTTGCCATTATATTTTCATCTGTGAGAAATGAGATCACTTTCCTGACCTGAGAAGCTCTATCTTTCTGCCACAAATGTGGCTCCAGAGGTTGACACGAATCATTTTGTAAGTCTAATCTGCCATTGCAGAAGATCCAGCTGGGCTGCTCATACAGTTTCAGAGAAGTGATTTTCTCTACCGTGGTAGTTTTTTCTTCATAGTGACTGGGTAGGTGAAGGTTTGCTATCCGGCTTTCTCTGTAAGCTTTGACCACTCCCTTCATCTGAGAGTAAGGATCAAAATCCAGCACAGCAAACAATTTGATTTCCTTTAGGAAATCTAAGTGCTCTATTTGATTTGGTGCACAGTTGTTTGTTACAAGAATGTACCAGTCGTAGTAAGATTTATCCAGTGAGCTTTGGTGTCTGGTCAAAAGTTTACCTAATTTTAGTCCCTCACTCTCTTTCTTAGTCACCACCCTGTGTTCTTCAGCCTCTTTTCTAGATGCTATCCATAACTTTAAATTCTCTAGAAAGTTTTTGAACTCTCTATCCCGTTGCTTGGCATTGGCCAGGATATTCTTAGAGCTAGCCCCTTCTCTCACAAACAATGAATTCTCTGTGCTTTGTTTCCATGTTTTGTCTGTGTAACTTTGCAGCGTAATGTAGAAATACTTTTCTTTACATATAGAATGTTTGGGAATAACATCTACTTCAATAACAAATCTATCAGATGATGTTTTGTTCTGCAGTAGGACTTCCACAAACCTTGGTTCCCGAATACAAGCTCTGGCTTCTTTGATGTCACTGTCTTCAAAATACTTTTTGATCATTCCATTGAAGTGGTTAATAAAGATGTCCTTACTGGTGACTTTCATACCAACAATTTCTCCGTGTGGTTTGTCATTAACTCCAAAATGGATAGTTCCATTGGTACGCGAATTCATACAAGCTGACGCAAATCGGAAGACTTCATTGCTAAATTTCATCTTAATGTCTTCTTCTGTGGCTGTCTCTGTATTTGTGAGGGCTTTGAATTCATGTACTGGGTCTATAAGATTGAGAGGTCCTGTTTCGGCAACTTGTAGAATAGAATGTTCTATGTATCTTCTGTCATCATGGAAAGAATCAAAGGGATGTGGCATGCAAGACATGTGTTCTGGTTTGGGTTTATCGCCCGCCACGTCTTTAGTCACTCTGTCACTTAATACATCTTCCTTGAGAAGACTTCCTTCTTGTTCTGTGTTCTGTGCCGTCCCACTGAGATCATGGTCACTGTTGGATGGAGCTGATTTTTCTTCTTCATTTTTGGTCTTTTTTTGGTGTTTTTTAATTGAGCGTTCTGTTTTATTTAATTGTCTGGAATCTTGATTGTCACTTTCAGAGGAATCATTCAGTTTGTTATACATACGTTTTATCAGAAGTGCTGGACCCCGTGGCAGCCCCATTTCTCTAAGATCCTTTTCAGTTAGTTCCTGAAGAACCATCCCTGTCACTTCTTCATTGAACAGGATTTGAGCATATTTCTCATCAATGTTAAGGTGTTCAGTTATCCATTCTTTTACATGTTCTTTGGTCCAGTCTTTGACCAATTTAGGTTGAGGAACTTTTTCACTCATGTCAAAACTTCAAAGTTGTTCCTTGGGAAAAGTAATACAATCATATTTTAGCATTATATTTTATCATTGAAATTACATAGCCAATTATAACATTGTACAAACTATATGTAGATATATGATTATTTTTCAAGAATAACTTAAAACTGTTTGGTAGTCATTTCTAATTTTTGTCCATTTTACAGGTCATAACTGTGATCTGAAATTAGCAGTAGCTGTTAGTGAGCTGACAAATATTTTTGTCTTTGGTAACTTTCCTTTTTAGATTTGCCTGTTTAGAAGCTGGGATTTTGTAATTTAAAACTAGAGTCTCTAGTAGCAGAATCACTTTTCTTAGAATAGTTTAATTAAATGAACAGCCTCAAAAACTCTAAACTCAAATTGATCAGCAAATAGAATAGTGACCTGAATAGGCCAAAGCAACTCTAAACATAAAGGACAATGTGGAGGCATTATAATCCTTGACCTCAAATTATACTCTGAGCCATAGTGACAAAAGCAACATGGATTTACCATAAGAACAGACTCATATGTTGCATGGAAAAGAGCCACATGTTCTTCCTGGCCACCCAGATAGCTTAGCCCCAAAATAACCACACAGAAACTGTGTTCATTAAATCAGTGCTTGGCCTATTAGCATTAACATCTTATTGGCTAACTCTCACACCTTAGTTTAGCCCATTTCTATTAATCTATGTATCATCACGTGGCAGTGGCTTACCAGGAAAGATTTGGCATATCTGATTCTGGTGGCTCCATGGTGTCTCTCCCTTATTCCACCTTTTTTCCTCCCAACATTCACTTCTGCCTTCCCTGCCTACCTAAGTTCTGCCCTAAGAACTAGGCCAAGGCAGTTTCTTTACTTATTAACCAATGAAAGCAACACACAAACAGAAGGACCTACTACATCTCTCATAAACCAATAGGAATAGGCCTGAGAATCCAGAAATAAGTCCTACAGCCACAGTAATCTAAATTTTCACCCAAGTGTCAAACATATTTATTGAAACTTTTTGTCATAGTATTAACAGCTATATAGAGTAATTACTAATTCTAGAAAAGGGTTTCATCTACTTTTTTGTACATGATTTCTGGTTTGAGGTTCTATTAGTTTTGTGCAGTGAACCACAAGCACGCCTAACAGCAGCCTTTGAAGTCTCCAAAAGGAGGATGGGGCCCCACAGCAACGATTTCTCCAGGAATATGATAACATCACTAACTGAAAAACACCACCTAAAGATTGGTTTTGGACTCCAAACTGCTTAGAATAATTTCAAAATGGCTAGCTGAGATGATCTAGCCCCACAGACTACTCTAGCCAGGACCTGAGACAAGCCCTTCACTTCCCTACTATGCAGAGACTGGACAACAAATGATAAAGCTACCTCTTCCAGGACTTGACAATTAGCCCCAATTTTTCTTTTCAGGATCCCCTAAAGATGCCATTGTCCCCTACACAGCAAGAAGTAATTTTAAGAATATGATACCAATACTCTCAAAAGATGGGTTGGGTGGTTTTATGTCATTCAATGGTCCATAGATAATTTGTTATTGTTTAAGGGAATGGTTATATATTAGTGGTTAAGGTCAGGAGGAAAGTTGAACAAAAGAAAATAGATTCAAAATTCTTGTTTTGAAAAAAGGGGGATAGAGATATGATAGGATAGAAGGGTAGATTATTTAATCCATTTGAAAGAATTAAAAATATAAATAATACAAGTTACCCAAGCATACTAAAAATATTTATAGTAATAAATTATAGTAGGTAAAAGACACCAGAAGGGATATTGGACTGGGATACGTGATGAGGGTGAATTATGAATAGGAGAAAAATGTGAACCTGGCTTATGTGAGATAAAAGGTAAGAGGGAGGAGGGGGAAGATGTTAGAAAAAGTGAGAGAGCCAGAAGGGAGGTAGGACACGAAAGAAAGAGGGAAACAGAAACTGTGGCAGTATGCATAGGACATGCATGGGTCTGAGCCAAATGGGGTCCTAGCACTGAGAGGAAGAGTGGAGACAAGCTTCCATTCCTCACCCAGAAGCTATCTCCAATAGATAACAACTTCCAAATGCAAAATTAGTTCTCTCTAGTGAAGTCTCCCAAGAATGCAAATCACTATCAGTTGCAGGCCTAATGCCCAACAATAAATAGATAGCCAACACAAAATTAATTCAGTGACGTCTTTGTCTCATAATATTTTGTCATTGCGTTATTATTTTTTAATCTTAGAGGTCCTTTTCATTTATCTATGTTTCTTATGCTTTTGCTTAGGTGAATTCCCTTCTGTCTGTTTTATCCTATTCTAGTTTGTTTGTTTTTGTTTTATCTTCTTTTACTATAATTCTGTAGAAAAGGAGTGAAGCTGATGGGAGGCAAAGTGTGAAGGGTCTTGGAGCAGTTATGAAAAGGGAAACAATGGTCAGAATATAGTATATGAAAAAAATTCAATAAAAGAAATATTGAGAAAAAAGAGATAAAGTGGGGCACAGCATGTTAATAAAGGGAATTCTTTGAGAGGATGTAATATTGTAAACATTTACAGAATTTTGAAACATGAGACAAATTCTAAAAGGAATAAAAGTCTCCTAAATTCTGACACAGTGATTATTGGTATGGTAGTTTGAATGTACAATCAATGTCTATGAAACTTACAAGATTTCATGTTTTTATAAAAATAAAAGAATGACTGATAATTTAGTGAGTTTAAAGTACAACACAGCAAGCTTAAATAGGGAAGAAAGGAAGAAAACAGTTAAAGGAAGAAATTTAGATAGAAAAGTAGGAAACACAGTCATAAAGGAGATACCCAACCAAGCCAAAAAGTGATACGCAATACAAGGTGATAAACCTGACACAAGCGGAAGAAACCGTCAGGAATGAAAGAGCGACGGAACAACCCGACACATGCAGAAGAAACCGTCAGGAATGAAAGAGCGACGGAACAACCCGACACATGCAGAAGAAACCGTCAGGAATGAAAGAGCGACGGAACAACCCGACACATGCAGAAGAAACCGTCAGGAATGAAAGAGCGACGGAACAACCCGACACATGCAGAAGAAACCGTCAGGAATGAAAGAGCGACGGAACAACCCGACACATGCAGAAGAAACCGTCAGGAATGAAAGAGCGACGGAACAACTTCCCCGATGCTGCAGCAAAATTACGGTGAACCAGAGGCTATTGCAACCAACCTTACCTGGATGCACTGTGAGAAGTGAGCGGAAACACGTGACTTACCAAAACTGACTCGAGAGTCAGGGAAAGGACTCCCACTGCCAGGGTAAGGTCGTGAATCACAGAGGTCACTGATGTTCCCACTAGAGTGACAAGAAACAAGATTCACGTGTTTGGAAAGCTTAGACTCTGAGCTTGTGTAGCTGAAGTCAGCAGACATGGCAGGAGTGTGTTCAAGTGCGGGGATGGAAAGGTCTCTACCCAGCTGAACTGGGGACAATTTGCCAGTTCTGGTTTCAAACTGAGGACAAGACAGGACGAGTTGGAGGATGACAAATCGGCGGAACTTTTACCAGCAACGTGGAAGGATGCAGTAGGTTGGAGTCTACAGCAGCTCCAAAATCTTAGCCAGTTTTAGACATTAAAAATTAAACTGCATGGATGTCATAACTCATGCCAACACAATGGCTGGCCTTAAATCCTGCAAACGCAAATGTTGGTGAAAGCATAGAGTAAGTGTGGTTTTGGAAAGTGTTTGTGGAAATGCAAATTGCTTTACCTAATCAGAAAAACAGTTTAAATATTTTCATGAAATTAAGTGTATACTCGCCTCCTAAGTCAACAATTTCAGTTAAAACAGAAAGACTGAAAGTGCTGATTCAGCAACAAGAGAGCGTTCTCACACATGAGAGAGTGTTTAGGTTTTAACAAATAAAGCTTGCCTGAAGATCAGAGTGCAGAGCTAAGTCACTAGAGGCCAGGGAGTGGTGGCACACACCTTTAATCCTAGGACTTGGGAGGCAGAGGCACATCTCTGTTAGCTCAAAGTCACCCTGGGCTACATAAAATTGAATCTGTCTAAAAGAGAAACAGAGCTCACACAAAGGTGACCCCAGCACTTGGGAATACATAACTTTAATTTCAGCAACAGGGAGGTGGAGCCAGGAGTGATACGGCTGGGTGGAAGGAGGGTTGTAAGGCAGAAGGAGACAGGAACTCAGTGCAGTCTGAGTTTGGGTGGAGACAGTTGCAGGCAGAGGACAAAGTCTCAGATGTCTGAGGACAAGATCGTCCCTTCAGACTGACCATTGGTTGAGGTAAAAGGTCTCACTAGCGGCTGGCTGCACTGTCTCTTTGAGCCTTCAGCAATCACCCCAATATCTGACTCCAGGTTTTTATTATTAAGACCAACAGGCAACTAGGGCACTGACACAGAGAACACACTGTATGAGTGTATTTCCATGAAGTCAAGGGCAGGCAAAGGCAATTTAAAGCGTCGTTTCTGCTTAGGGGTGTGCTTTCTGGGAATGGGAACAAGGAACGTGGGAAGCTACTTAAATGACTGTGTGGAACTATATCATGGGGAGAAGCCCCTGTCACATAAATCACCCTTCACTCAAGAAGCCGATGATGCCTCTAAAATACATGATGGAGTAAACAGATGACAGAGACACAACACAGGCTGCTCCAACATCGAAGGTAATGATGAGTTCAAGTCAAGGTTTCAAGTCTTCATTTTATCATACAGTCAGTACTTCTCAACAGATTTCAGGACTAGCTTCAACTTGCTTATTCCACTCACACTTCTGAATATTGTTTTCCTTGACTTCTCTAAAACTTTACCTCAACCTTGTCTACTTGTGGATATAGTGCAGTGGTAGACCTGGGGTTAGACTTCCAGTTCATGAAAACAAACCCCAACTGAAGGAATTGAATCAGTATCTACCCTCCCATTAATACAGCTCCGTAGACAAGAGTAAGTACAAACCCCTCGCTAGGCACCAGATTGCAACCTGAAACTACATTGCATCCATATTTGTGCAGTTTGTTAGGTGACAAACTTGCTTCTAACCAATATTCTTAGATATATCTTGTGGATTATTTGTGCGCTCTCTCTTTCCGTTCTCTCTTTCTTTCTGTGCTGTGGTTGTGTCCAAACATTTCCTTTCATGGTGAAAGTCTAATAGAAAGATTCACGTCTCACTTGCAGACTTTGAAGTGGAATAAACTTCCTGAATAATGAGACTAATTTCAGTGGAGAGAACTCTTACACTATGAATTTAAGCTGCCTGAAATTACAACCCCAGCACATCAGGAAGTCTTTTGACAATGCCCACTGGTCCTTGCTGTCCATTGTTTCACTAACATTCTTAGTCAGCATACAAAACACTGTTTTTAATATAGTATTTAAATATTTTACTTGTGCGTTAAATGTGTGTGCATGCATGCCTATGCAAGCATTCATGTGTGTGTGTGTGCGTGTGTGTGTGTGTATGTTTGTGTGTGTGTAAGAGCGTGTGTGCATATGCCTGCGCTTGTGTGGTTCAAGACATTGGGAGTCCTGTTCCACTGCTATCGATTTTATTCCTTTGAGTGAAGTTTTCTTATCCGGACTGCAGGTCAGCGGCAACCAGCAAACCAACCATCTCCCAGTTTCCATCCCACAGTGCTCTTGGGTTACAGGCAAGCTTAGGATTCCAACTCAAATTCTTACACTTGCACACACAGCAAGTGTTGTCCTCATACACAGAGACATCTCTTCAGCCTTATATTAGGATGTTGTCATGTATTCTGTTCGACTTTAAATTGCAAAAAAGCATACAGAAAAGTGTTTTATTTATATCTCATTGTCTTATCGAACCCATGGTTCCCTGGCTGCACACAGACAAGGACAGTCCAACCCATAATTATAACCATACATAAAACACCATGAGTGTGTGTGTATGCTGTGTGTGTGCACACTCGTGTGTACATCTAATTTATTTGTGGTGGATGGCATGGTTCTCAAACATGAACCTTGTGGATGACCTCTGTCACAATGTCAGTGTTCTGCTCACTGTGTAGGGGACTGCAAGCGACAACTCCCTCATACACACCTCCAATAGCATTTGCAGGGCTGGTGCCCATCACTCTAGAAGTCCTAGAATTACATTCCAAATGACTATGCTCTTTCTGCCAGAAGCCTGCTCGATGCTATTGCCTTCCCCTTTAGAGGTCCTTGCAGTAACTTTTATCACTTGGTTGACCTTGTTTTACGGCAACATTCTACTTTTTCTTTCCTGACAGAGGTGCAAAATTCATTATGCATTCTGTTTCCAACCTAAGCTTCATACATATAAATAACCTGGCAGGTGCACTATTTTCTATGAATCCGTAACATTCCAGTAGATTTAGTATTGGCGAGACCAGAAAAGGGAGATTCTGAAGGACACTGGCCATCGGGGATACATACTATCCTGTCTGTGCACAGCAGCCCACCTTGGCCTCCTCCAACTTCCCTGCACTTGTACCTTTCCAATACTGCTCGACTAATGATTCGTAGGGCAACATAGATCTTAAGAGCATCAATTTCCACACCTTTTGACTTCACCTTTGTGCATGAAAGACTTTGGGACACACAGAAATGACCCAGACATGATACAAGGGCTGTGTGAATGTCAGAGAACTGCCATCTCCATTCTGTCACTGCTTCCTCCTGTACAGTTGATGTGACTTCTGTGCAAGGAAGAAAGGGTCAGGAAATGACTGTGCCTTTACTGATTGCAACTGTCTGACACCTGATCCCACTGACCACTAGTTACTCCCATATATAAGCAAAGCCTCATGCACTCACAGGCAACTGTCCAGCTCTGAGCTCAACTACTACCTGCTTTCTCTGCTCTGTCCGGGCCGCCTCTGCTGCCCTCTCACTGCTGAGACACAGAGTGAGCCCTGATGGCCATCCAGCTGCCTGCTGTGCCCAGGCTCCGGAGTACAGGCCCAAGGTTGTGGTGCCACACATTATCAGGACACCAGGAGTCTCCTAAATGTAATCAGTGAATGCCTTTCATAGTTATACACATGTGGTCTCCACCCCTTTGGGGGTAGTGACATAAAAGTACAGGGTGGAGTCATGAGTTAGGTGACTTATCTGTGCTTGAGCTGCATGCCATAAACATATCAGAGTATAAAGTTGAGTCTCTACGTCAGAGTTGGAGGCATGGAGATCTAGGCTGGAATATTTGGTTGAGAAAGTAAGCAAATAAAATTAAAAGGGTGAATTTACACTGTTTTCACTCCTAGCTAATGCAACTGAACAGATTTCACTTTCCACACTGTTTCCTCCTGAGCAGTGGCTCTCAGCCTTCCTAATGCTGTGACCCTTTAACACAGTTACTCATGTTGTGGTGACCCCCAACCATAAAATCATTTTCATTGCTACTTTGTAGCTGTAATTGTGTTACCAAAGAGGCCACTTCAGGAGAGTTCTCTAGGGGACAAACATCTCTCTACATGCCGCTGTAGTAAGAGTTTCTTCAGATGCCCTGTGTTTATAAAAGAAAGGTGCAGCGGGATCACACAGATATAAAATCCCAACACACACTTAGGATGCGTGGGGTTGACTGTATGTGGTCAGCTTTTCTGCAGGATCACACAGATATAAAATCCCGACACACACTTAGAATGAGTGGGGTTGCCTGTATTGTCAGCTTTTCTAAAGAAGGTCATAACTCAGCAACACATTCCCCTTGAGTGACATCATCAGTTACTTTGGGGGAAAATCAGACATAAGCCTCCTACTCCCACCAGGGACACCCCTATTCCAAACTTACGAGAGGAAGCACTAGCAAATCAGGCCCTCCAGTCTCTCTCAGATCTGACATTACTCTCCAAAAGGCTGTCAAGAGCTCCATGTCTAAACTTCCTGTCCTTAGAGTGACTTGGGGGCTGTGTATTTCAAAAATGTAAGCATTAAAACATTTATTATTTTTCCTTCTGAAGATGCTGCTTTTCTTTGGGAGACATTAGTAGAAGTGTCCCTGATTTCCAACTGCATCTCAACAGAAGGCTGTGACTAATATAAAGCAGACTCCTTTCTCAACGCAGCAGGGTCCAGACGATCTGGGTTCCGAATCTTATTAGTTTTGTTTAAAAGCGCATTTAAACTTTCTAGCCACAAAGCACATTTCTGCCTGTTCAATAAGCGGTTGCTATAGACACCAATAATAACAACAATAACAGGAGAGATTTTGTACTTACCAAAACGTTCAAATTTCTTCTATGTTTAAAAAAACAGTGAAAAACTGTCCATATTGGTGAAGCAAATGTCTGGTGTCTGTATTTCCTTCCTCCTGAGAAGTCAGAGAAAAACACCCTGACTTAGTCTTGATGAAAGCTTAACCATATAGTACTTCTGCTTTGGTACCAGCTCAAGCCGGCTGAAAAGTACCAGGGTGTGTCTGACGCTGACAGGGCTTAAGGAAGTGGGAAAAAAAATAAAGCTGTCTCCATGGCAGTTTCGATTCTCTGATGTGAGAAGACCTTTTCCTGAAATGCTTTGTGTGTTTGGTTTCTCTCTAGTAGCCACTATGCCACCTTCTGGTTGGTTTGGGTAAAGCCCAAAGACTTAAAAATCTCAATTTTTAAGGACTGACAAGGGAGCCCAGATGCCTACATGCAAACTATGAGTGATTCTGTTCAACTGAACCCCTGGGAATACCAGTGTTCTTTTATTTATCATATTCAATATTGTTTTATGATATGTTCTGTTGCTATAACTGGATGCCACAGACTAGTGATCCATAAACTAAAGAAATGTGTTCCTTATGAGTTTTGGAGGCTAGGAAGTCCCAGGCGAAGAAGCTGCACCTGGGGGGCAACTTCTGGCTGCCTGGGATCTCTATGTTCCCAGGTAGACAGAGCAGTACTGGCAGAGGTGGAGCAGGCTTGCTCCTTTGGGTCTCTCTTCCTCATCTAATGAAGCTACTACAGATACCATGAGGGTTAAGTGCCCTCATCATCACATATAATCCTAATTATCTCCAAAGGCTCCATTGCAAGATACCATTAACTTAGGTCCTGAGGAATCAACTTTAAACACAAATTTTAAGAAGTTACAGATTATAGCACTGAATGCATATCAATTTCAAAGAAACCAAGATTTTCATAACAATGCTAACATGTCACTAGATCACTTTGTTTTTGTCATTAGTGTTTGTACTAAATGAGCCAATCAAAGAGCAGTGCTACAAGGAAAGTTTGACACACACACACACACACACACACACACATATACATACACACATATGTGATTAGTAGATGTTAAATGATTGTTTTGACTACTTCAGATTGTCTAAAAGTATCACTTGGAAAATTCAAAGAAACTTATTAATGGAGAAATATTCATTATTTTTGAGAAAAGACAGCACAAGCTCTGCACACATAGATAGTCCCTAGCTCAGCTGCAGTCTGATTCTCCATGTCCTACATCCAAATGTGTGCTGTCTTCAACAATAGGGTCTTTCCCTCTAGTTCCCATGGGCAACCAGGAGAAATAGCAAGAAGACAAATATAATATGTACTCACTGGTAATTTGCTTTTAGACATAAAACAAAGAAAAACCAGTCTACAGTCCCCAACCCAAGAGATCCGAGACAACAAAGGCGACCTTAAGAGAGACATTCATAGATCTACATATGAAGGAGATAAAGACAAGGTCTTCTGATTCAATTGCAAGTGTGAGGATCATGCGAAAGAGTAGGACAGTAGGGAAGATAGGAGGGGAGCAGAGAAAAATGTATAGCTCAATAAAAAGCAATAAAGATAAGAAAAGAAAGGGTTAATGTAAAAGGCCACCACCTTAAGATATGACAGCACATGAGAACAAACAAAACCACAATGATTTCCAAATCGTAGATATGACCGGGGTTTCCTGTGCTGGCTAATTTGAGCAAGGCATCCTTTCTTATCAATCAAAACATCCCTTCCAGAGGAAAGCCTTGTTCCTTGAAATTTCTTCCCAAATTAACTAACACACACCAGATACTCTAATATCGTCTATTTAATTTTATTCATTTTAAAATTTCATTTGTTTTCTTATTTATTCTTTGCATTTTAGATGTTTAGTGGTTTTGTTTTAATTTGTATCTTTCCGGAATAAGTGTGGTTATAACTGCCTTTTCTTTTTTCTGCGTTTAATCTATATTATTTTCTTTCTAATATTTCCTAATTCTAACTCATACTTTATCCATGTTCTTTTCTAGCTCTTTTCTTACTGTCAAGTGGGGATCATAGTGCCTGGTATCCATCCCAACCCCCCAGGCCTGGGAGTTCTATTGGTCTAGACTCCAAAGCCCAGCATGCCAGATCCTGACCCATCCCACACGGTGTTTAAGTGGACTCCCAAAGGAGAATCACGTGGTTGTCGGGTCTGCATGGACTCCTTGCTGTTCTGTTTCCTTGCCACACTCTAGGCGACCCAAGAGTGACATTCTTAATAAAACGATGGACATTTTGATTTGGTTTGATTTGACCTAATTGGATTTCTTGTGCTGGTGGAGCTGCCTCTTTCTTATTATTTTTACTTAACACTTACTGCTTAGTTTTTAATACTTTTAGCTCTAAAAATACTATAGTCTACTTTCAGTCAGTAGCCTAGTGCCATTCTCTTTTACTCTTACTGGGATGCATTTACAGGATCCAAGTGCCTTCTACTACAAGTTAAACTGTAAGAACTGTCTGATCTCCATATTGGTTAAAGAAGTCTACACACCCCTCTTGATAGTCATGAACTATAAAAGTCCAAGTAAAAGCTCATCAGTGAATGAAAATGAGGACATAATGGCTCCAAGGTACAGTGGAGGAGAAGCTTTTTATTGTAGATACAAGGGAGAGAACAAACAAAGGCACCTGGGAGACTCTAGAGCAGCTAGGAAAAGCTGTAATGGACTAGATATGGCCAGTCAACTGAACCAGGTAATGAGAGGAGAGAGAGGAGAGGGAGAGAGAAAGAGAGAGAGAGAGAGAGAGAGAGAGAGAGAGAGAAAGAGAGAAGAACAAGAGAGGAAGAGAAGAGGGAGGGAGGGGCAGGATAGGGGAACAGAAAAGGGAGAAGAACCAATAGCCCAAGAAAAGAACTAAGAGAAACCAAGAGAGTGGGTGGCTGAAAAGGCTGGTTTATATATGAATGAGAAAAGGAGAAGGGAAGCAAGCTCAGGGACTGGAGAGGTTCAGGGTAGGGGCTGGGGATGGAAAGTTCTGAGAGGAACTAGGACTCTGTAACAGGTACTTGTGATGCTGAGAGAGCCTGGTGGCCAGAGTCTGTCTTGATATGTTAATGGCACCTCAGCCATTTGTCCTGAGTTTCTTTGGGACTTAACTCTTAGGTCTGGGACTCAAAATGGCCAATTGGGGTGTCTATTTAAAATATCAAAATATACTCTGGATGCTTGTCCTCCTCAGGCCCTACTCACAAGTACCCATTAACATAGTATTTCCTGTTGGCATATTCTGCCCTCTACTGTAAACCTCCAGTCTCAAACTCAAAACAAATGGCTAACTCTAACAACTATATAGACTCACAGAAAATAAGACAATAAGATTAAAAAGAGCAGGAGAAGAGTAGAAATAAATATAAACACTGGAAGGCACATATATCTTAAAGTCAGGCAAAACACAACAAAGAAATACACTATACACTACACACACACACACACAGTAGGAGGAAATAAGTTACCATGATTCCTCCTTAAGTTCACAGATTCTCAATACTAGAAAAAAAATGAAGTTTCAATAAAATAATTTAAAATCCTCTTTTATAAAGGATAAGTGATCAAATAGATCAACTAAATAGATAAATGAATAAATTATGTTCAATAACTATGGGACACATTCAGAGATCAAATGTAAGAATCCACAGATGAAGAAGGGGCTAAAATGAAGAGTAGAAGCACAGAATTAGTTTAGTGAAATCATTAGAGAACATTTTTCAAGCCCACAGAAAGAAACGCAGATACACAATCTAGATGCACTTTCTGCGCAAAAGATAACACTAGAGAAGAACTTCTCTGTGACATGTCATAGTCAAGTTTTCAAAAATATAAAAAATCAAATAATATTAATGATGGAAGAGAAATATTAGTTCCCACACAAAGGCATCAGAATAAACCAGCTCTGTGATAATGAAGCCTAAATGCAAGAAGGCATGGGATGGTGTATTTCAAGATTCACAACAAGTTGCTATATCCAGCAAAATTATCTCTTAAAGTTGATGGAGGAATAAGAATTTTTCAAGACAAGCACAAATTAAGGCAACTAATGACATCCAAGCCAGCACTGCAGAAAATATTTAAAGGACTATTATACATAGAGAAATAATGAAACCAATATAATCCATAATAGAAATGCAGAAAAGAATGCATTTCATGAGAAGGTAAACCAACAAATCACTAATACAAACAGGGAAAGAAGAAAATACGTAGTAATTCAACCAAATAGAGCAAAATCATAAATAGAACAAAGACCTCGTAACAATAATCTTAAATGAAAGTTCCTTAAACCATCCAATTAAAAGAGGTAGACTAACTGGTGGACCAGGATTGAGCCAGCGACCTGACTCAGAGTTAGCAATTTTCACTCGAACCAGAGTTGGACTGAACCAGCTACCTAGGACTGAGAGGGAACAAGCTCCACTGGGAGCAGAAGCCAAGAGCAAACCCAGTCCCGGGAGCCAACCTAGAACCAGGACACTGGTGGATCAAGACGGAGCCAGTGACCAGATCCAGAATCAGCCATCTCCACCAAAACAGGTACAGGGGAGTAACTGCTGGGCGAGTGAGCCAGAGCCAGAAGCCACTGAGGGTCTGGATGTGAATCTGGGACCTTCAAGGGAGCAGATCTAAGCCAGGACCCAGGTGGGTCTGGGTGTGAGTCTAGGACCTCCCAGGAACTAGGCCTGAGCCAGGACCTCTGTGGGTGTGGGCATTGTTCTGGGATATCAAGGGGAATAGGCAGGAACCTGGAAGCTCTGCAGGTCCGAGCATGAGTCTGGGACCTCTGAGGAAGTAAACAGTACTCTGCAGGTCTGGGTATACCTGAGCCTGGGACCTCTGAGGCAGTAGACTGGAGCCAGAAACCTTTCCAAGTCCAACTCCAAGCCAGGGACTTCTGCAGAAGGGGTTCCAGACCAGGATTTATAGAAACAGGTCAAAGCTGGCAACCTAGGCCAAAGTAGAACTGAGACAGCAAACTCCAAGGGAGCAGACCAAAGCACAGGAGTGCTGAGCTATCTCCAGGAACACGGAGTAACTGGCAGGGTAATAGAACTGTGACACCAATTATACCAAGGTATAAC